GGGCGGCGTGGAGGGTGGGGACAGGCAGGGAGCTGGGGGACGAGGAGCCGCCAAGGTCAGTGGCTGCCCACGTGGTCCGACAGGCACCCTCTCCCGGCTGGAGAACCAGAGTCTCGTAGTGAGGGGCCGGCTGGGCCAGTGAGGGATGCACTGGGGTGGACACAGGACACGCGCGGGTGGACGCCACCTCCCCAGCCTGCAGCAACAAGTTCATCTGGAGATGTTCCTGGGCAGGACACGCCGGCCCCCACGATGTCCCCAGCTCGAGCTGCTGTCTGTTGCTGGCAGCAGGGTGGCGGGGGCTCCTGGAAGAGCATGCAGCCCCCAGCAAGGGTGGGCACCAGGGGCCGGGCGTCCATCTGGGCTCAGTGGGCCTTCGGCCACACGACGGGAGACAGAGCCGGAGTCATCCTGAGGGTCCCGCGTCCGCCCAAATACTGGTGAACATGGCTCACATCAGGCATTTAATTAGACTCCTGCCGTCTCCGGCCCAGCGCCCAGCGCCCAGCGCCCGCTGCCTCCGGGGCATGGAGGGGCGGCGGGCACATAGGTCCATGCAGGTTGAGGAGTTGGGATCTCCGCCCAGGGAGGAGGCGGCACAGCCGCCCTGTGGGTCTACCGGATCCGGGTGAAGAGGTTGAGCACTGACACGGACTCCTGTGGACAGGGGACGGGGCAGGGCTGAGTGAGGCCGGGCCCTGGACAGGGCCAGAGGTGGGGCTGGGAGGGGTCCCGGATGACGGGGGGCACAGTGTGAGGGGATCGGACCGAAGGGGACAGCGGGGTGGGGGCGCCATGATACCGACCCACTTTACCTTTGTTGAACGAGTTTTGCTAAAGACGTTCCAGAACCTCAGGGTTTCATCTCCGGCACCAGTGACAATGGCCTCCCCATCAGGGGACATTGCCTGCAGAGAGGACAGAGGGTCCCCGATGAACGTAGGCCTCTGCAGGAGGTGCTGGGGACAGGACCCAGGCCCAAGTCTGGCCCCGGCTCACTGGCTGCAGGGGCAGAGCAGGGAGGGAGGCCGTGGCCGAGGCTGCATGGGGAGGAGTGGAGGACACAGAGGCCGCCTGGCTGGGGCCAGGGCCAGGGCCAGGCCTGGGCTGAGGTGTGGACGTGCACAGGCAGACACGGAGACGTAGGCACAGCTTTTTTGTTGTTTTTTTTCTGGTACTGCGGATCAAACTCAGGATCTTGCACTTTTGAGGCAGATGCGGTGCCACTGAGCTAAATCCCCAGCCTGGCCCCATAATTGTTTCTTTTGTGATACTGGGCCCAGACCCCAGGACCTTGCACAGGGCCTGCAAATTCCCCATTGAGCTGCACCCCCAGCCTTGCTTGACATATTTGGTGCTGGAAAGAAAAACTGAAGAGTGAAGGTGTCCGAAGAGGAACCCGGTGCTCTCGTCAGCCCGGGCCATGGCTACACGGCTGGCGAACACCGCTCACTCCCAGCTCACTCTGTCTCATGCATTTTTTTCTTGGTGTTTTGAGGCAAGGTCTCACCATGTACTTCAGGCTGGCCTTGAACTCACTGTACAGCCCAAGCCGGTCTCGAACGCATGGCCATCCTCCCACCTCAACCTCCCGAGTGCTGGGATGACAGGCCTGTGTCACCACACCCGGCTCTCCTTATGGCTTTTGGTGTGAAAGTATGTCACCAGGTGGGGACTCTGCAGGAAGGAAAACACCTCCCCGTGGGGACACAGTGACCACCTCACACTGCCACTGGACACTCACCAGATAGAGAACGCGGTAGGAGTGGCCGGTGAGCTTGGCCACCTGCGTGAGGGACGGGTACTTCCACACGAGGATCTGGTTCTGGGAGTAGCCGTGGGTGCTCACCTGGTGGGCGGGGAGGTGGGTGTGAGGGCCGCAGCCCCTCCACAGGCAGCGTCCCCACGCGTCAACAGCCCAGGCAGGATGCTGAGGTGACGGCTCACCAGCTCGTTGGCGTGTTTGGACCAGGCCAGGTTGCACACTTGCGAGCCCGTGTCGATGCACTGCAGCGGCTGCCCCGTGAGCGTGTTCCAGAAGCGGATGCAGCGGTCGGCCGTGCCGCCACCTGACGCCAGCAGGCCGTGCTGGTGTGGGGACCAGGCGATGGCCTTCACGGCCGCCAGGTGCTCTGTGTACTGCTGCACGGGGCTGAGGCTCGAGTGGTTCCACACCAGCAGCTGGGGGACAGCTGCCATGAGGCGGGGTGCCGTGTCCCCACAGGCACCCGGGACACGCCCTTGCCACCCCGCTGTCCGGGAAGTGCAGACACGAAGCCCGGGGCCAGGTGGCCTCCAGGGTGAAGGTGGCCCGCCCTCCACCAAGGTCCCACGTGCCACTGCTGCCCGGGGTGGGACTGGCTGTACCTTGTTGTCGTTGCCCCCCGAGGCGAGGAGCTGGTGGTCTGTGGACCACTTGAGCCCACACACCTCCTGCCGGTGGCCCTGCAGCCTCCGCTCTGACTGCAGGGGCGGCGTGCGGATGTCTCTCTGCAGGATCATGCGGTCACGGCTGCCGGAAGACAGCTGGTCTGCGTTCCAGGCCAGCGCCCCTGCAGGGCAGAGGAGGGTAAGGCGGGCCAGGGCTATGGCCATGCAGGGGCGAGCAGAGGCAGGCAGCCCGGCCAGCACTCACCGACGCGCGCCGTGTGACCCTCCAACACAGACAGCTTCTTCCCCGCCGCCGCGTCCCAGATCTGCACGAAGCCCTTGTGTGTGCCGACCGCCACCAGGTTGCCCTGGGGGATGGCAGGTGGCATCAGCCCACAGTGTGGGGACCCCAGGCAGCCAGACCTCGGCACCAGGGCCACCCCCTCCTCGGGATGACCGGCGAGCCAGGGTCACGGAAATGGGTGTCAAGACCCACTGCCCAGGCTGAAGCCGGCTCTGTGGTGAGCACCTGAGCCACGTGTCCCTGAACATAAACAGGGCCCAAGGCAGCCGACACCACAGCGGCCCGGCTCACTGCAGGACCCAGGTCGGGCCCTCCACTCTTCCAGAGGACAGGAGGCCTGCGCAGTCCAGGGACTGCCGCTAGATGGGTGCGCAAAGATGGCCCGTGGAGAGACCCGAGACCCCGTGTCTCTACCAACACCCACGCTGGGCTCCCTGGGACACAAGCCCTCTGCTCTCACCCGCTCAGACCAGCCCACGGAGGTCACCGAGTCGCCTTCCACAGAGAGGTCGCAGAGCCGGGTCACCTAGGGACAGCAGGTCAGAAGGAGGCTACGTGCCGCCTGCCGGTCGGCCCAGCCCATCGGCCCAGCCCAGGTCTGAGAGGAAACGGCCTGGCGTGGGGCCAGCAGTGCCCACCTGGCTGGTGCACGCGCTCCACAGGTAGACGCAGGTCCCCAGCCCCACGCTGAGCACATTGAGGGAGGACCAGTCCACCAGGTTGAGGTAGAAGTCGTCCTGCAGCTCAGGTGCGTCCAGGACCTTGAAGGGGATCTTGGAGATCTTGCGCGTGGGCTTCCGCGGGGACCGCAGCAGCTTCTGACTGCAGAACAGGGGTGAGGAGGCGCAGCCCAGCCTTCGCGTCCTGTCTCACCCGGGACTGCTTGTGTCCAGACGGGCCCGCTCGGGTCACCTCTGTGCCCGGGGCCATTCTGGCGGGCCCTGTCCCCCATCAGCACCTGGAGGAGGGCACGGCCCTGCCCGCCCGAGTCCCGACTAACCTCTTGTTGCTGACGGGGGACAGGGAGTACGGGGACACGTCGTTGCCGTCATCGGGGCTGGCACGCTTGGTGCTGAGGGAATACTGGGGAAGGGGACACCACTGAGCGGGAGCTGCACTCCAGGGCCGGAACTCGGGGACAGGAGTGCCGAGAGCTGAGCGGGAGAGGCGGACGGCGCGGGGTGCTCCGTCGTCCTTTCCCGGCAGCCCCCACGGGTCCCTGTCACCCGGCAGGTGCACAGGACGGTGACCATGGGGTGGGGAGAGCAGCCAGGGCGCGGGGCTCACCGTGAAGAGGCCCTTCTTCTCGGGGGTGGAGGGCTGTAGCCTCCGGTCCTCGGTCTGCGGGTCCTGCACCTTCTCTATGCCGGCGCCTAGCAGCTCGTTCTTCAGCAGGGCGGAGTAGGCCAGGCCGTCTGCGGGCGAGGCTCTGTGAGCCAGGGTGGGGCGTGGGCGTTGCCGGGGGCGGGGCGTGACGGGGCGTGGCCTGAGGAGCCGGGCAAACCACT